GCTCATGCATTAGCTCTAAAAACTGCACACACAGTCATGGTGTGAGGAGTTGTGTTTCACGTTCAATTTTTTTTCATCCAGGTCCAATGGCACAAATATGACACCGAGTTAATTACCTGGTGGAGATGTAGCAAACACTCCTGACACATTCAGAGGAAGGGACAACATTAACTGCTGCTGACTCTGGGATAAGGAAGAGGAAAAAGTGGACACATGTTGGCTGTTTTTGTTGTTGTTTTTGGTTTTTTATAATTATCCTCAAAAAAATGAGGATGACTAAATGACTAAGGGAATCCACTGACGGGGCTCAGCACAAAGGTCCATCTTAGGAAGCAAGTGGATAAACTTCCAGACTTGAAGGTAAAATATATGTTTATAGAGCCATGGCAACTCTCGGCAAAGTAAATAGTTTTTAAAGGTGAAATGTAGAGGTAAAATTGAAAGTAGTCAAAAACAGCCAATTATACCCTAATTTTTTTTTTTTAAAGTAACGCAATTGTTACTTTTCTTAGTAATTAATTACTTTTAGAATTTTGTAACTCAGGTACTAACTCAGTTACTGTTTTGAAGAAGTAATTAGTAACTATAACTAATTACTTCTTCAAAGTAACTTGCCCAACACTGATTATTAGTTAGCTGGGTACCCAGACAGGTTGCCAGGCTTCTGTTTTGTTTCAACTGTGCACCCCTTTGACTGTGTTTGTGGTGATTGTGCCTTTTTTTAATGTGATTGTGTGGCATAAACTTTGATTGCTGTGAGGTGTAAAGTCCATCCAGTTTTTGGTGAGTGAAACCTTTGTATTTTGTTTTAGCAAGTATCTCAGTCTGTGTGAGGCACGCATATTATCACTAAATCCTATGTTTAAACATGTAGTCTCAATGCGATTGTGACCTGTGTACAAAAAAAAAAAAAGACAAAGATTTACATAATAAAAGGACGTATCATACATTATACATGCAAATTAAGAAAAATGTGCAAGAGTAATCAGAATCAGAGAAATCAGAGGATGCAGGTTTTTTGCTAGTGTGTTCCATTTATAAGCAGCAAAGTCCAAATGCTGGCTTTGGTATTCGATGGGACTGTTGTTAATTTTATGCAGGCTGCTGAACCTACATCTTGACTGCCACAACCACTACTTATGGCAGTCCTAATATGTAATGTTCGTGAATCGATCACTCTCATGTCTTTTAGACTTAACGGCTGCTATGAGGCCTTGGAGGGAGAGAACACTGCAGAGGCCCTGATCGACTTCACTGGTGGAGTTTCAGAGCCTCTCAGTCTGGATCGTGAGGCTCTAAGACTTCACAGTGACCAGAGGAGGGCACTCTGCCAGACTTTAACCAAGGTCCATGAATACAAATCCCTCATCACTTGCTCCATATGGGTAGGGCTTCTGAGTCTTGAACATTTTAACAACTGTTAAAGAGATTGGTTAAAAAGATTTTACACGTTTCTCAGCCTGCAGAGGGGGAGACCGTGGAGTCAGTGCTGGAGTGTGGGCTCGTGCGAGGACACGCCTACGGGATCACGGCAGTGAGGAAGGTGAGGTTGGGGGAGAAGGTACTGAAGAGAGGCGGAACATCCAGACTCTTTATGGTCCGCATGAGGAACCCGTGGGGGACCACAGATTGGACCGGTGCCTGGAGTCAGAGGTGAGAGGTG